AGATGAGATTATTAGTAAATAGATGTTGGACTACAGCCGCCTTAACTACTTTTTTCATCACTCTAGATACCACTAAAGTTATGTTTATGGGTCGATAATTGTCAACATTTGCTTCAGGTCCTGTTTTAATCTTGGGAATGATATGTGTAGTTTTCCAGGCAGTAAGGTAGCACGCTGTAGAGAGTGATATCGCAAAAGTTTGGGAAGCAAAACACACATATCATCACCTCCACGTTTTAGCATGCTAGCTGGAATACCATCTGGTCCATCAGTGTATGAGTGTTTCAATGTACTAATTGCCTTAGAGATATTTTGTACATTGAAGTCTACACCAGTAATTTTACAGGGAGGTACTGGGATTGGTTCTGAATCGCTTAGTGGTTTTTCGTTAGTTAGTGAGAAACAAAAGTGTTCACTAAATAGTTTCGTAACAAGTTTAGGATCTCCGTATACTTCTTTGTCTTTAATGAATATGCACCCTCTCGATTTGGAACGTTTAAGTCTATTTTGAAGGAGTACGGTGAGTGCAGAGGAGTTACTATTAAGTTCGACTGCACGTTTTTCCTGTGCGACCGCTTTTTGTGTACTTATTGCTTCTGTTCAGACAAATATTTGTCATTGTTACTAAAGAGGAAAAGTCACTAAAGTTGTGGAATCGAGTACGATGTGCTTGAAGACGTTTTCGTGTACCGGCCGGTATATAGAGTTCTTTAGAGAACGTAGGTCTACAGAGTTCTAAAGGTGCAATTTTGTTAATGATACTTCTGATGTTCAGATAAAATATATTGGCTAGTGTGCTGGTATTGTTCGCAGTAAAGAAAGTTCCCCAATCAGTGCTTCTTAGGTGATTGTGGAAGTTATTCCAATCAACCTTGCGGTAGTTTCTACGAAGTGTTACGGTTTTACGTCTACCGGTTGTGGTTTTTATATTAAGGTTGCATATGACAATGTTGTGATCACAATCTGGAAACGTTTTTCCAATATACACAGTATTGGGGTGAGGCCACTGGTAAAGACTAAGTCCAAGATATTTTGATGTCTGGTAGGGCTATTGACATACTGAGTCCATTGTCCGAGCTCTAAACATTCTATAAATGACTCATAACGTTTCGGCGCCTTGACTGGGAACCAAGAAATTTCAGGCATGTTGAAGTCACCACAAATAAGCTTGCCTGTGAATGGAAGGGATGATGCTAGTGTGAATACCTCCGATGATAATGCTATTTCATCTATTGGTGCGTTAGGTTAACGGTAAACACAGCCGAACAGTAAGGTAACGGAATTCGACGGCTTTAATACAATCCACACCGAATCCTTCAGTTTGTTTAGTTCAGGCATATCACATAGTAGTGAGTTTGGACTAGAGTGAGCGTAAATAAGGCATCCTCCTCCTCGTTCTTTCAATCCATCACTTCTATATAGGAAATAGTTATCAAGAGATATACTTAGGTCGGAAATATTACTGTTAGTCCATGCTTCAGACATTATTATAAGTGATGGTTGATATATGGATACAAGCAGGGCTAAATCCGTCTTTTTATTGCAGATCGACCTAGCGTTGATGAAACATATATTAAACAAATGACCTACCAGGTCAAAATGAATGAGAGTATCTCGAATAAAGCCGTTGTAACCCTCGCAGGTGTGAGATGATTTAGAAGTGAGGGATTGAATGTTATTCATTAGCTCGGTATTTTGATAGCTAGACTTAGTGTGAGATGTATCAAATGAGCTAGTGAAGTTGATTGGGGAGTTTACCCAGGAGGAAAGGGTGGGAGTACTCTCTGATGGAAACTGTACGGGGGAATCGCGTTTATGTTCTGCATGTGGTTTGAAATGACTTGGGCTATATACTTCAACAGAGGTGTCACTAAGGGTCGTATTCCAAAAAAATCTTGTACATGCCTACTGTGAAGTGTGTGGTTGTTTGCAAAATAGTCTTGATGGTTAGGCGCGTAGCCTCTGTTATAGCTATTTACGTTCGTGTGAGAGGGGTCTGCTGCGCGTAACCGGAAGGAGTTTCAACTGTTTTTGTACGTGGGGGCCGTTTCTATGTGGTGGGTTGGTACTAAAGGGTGTGAAAAGTTTTCTTCCTGAGAGTAATTACAGTTGTGATCCTGGGGAAAGTGGACAGGGTGTGGAGTGAGAAACCCATTATTACTATTCTTATTAATGGTTTTAGGCCTTAGGAGGTGAGTGGAATGATCATTCCTCTGGTAGTTTCTGTTAGTCTGCGTGTAAAAAGGCTTGTTACGCTGTAGCCCACTACCCGTTTTGCAACATCGAGGTGTTGACGGCAAGTTATATGATATCAGAGAGGAGAACCTGTTCACTGTTGTTGGGATACCTATAGAGCAGCTCGGTTCAATCTCACGTGTCTCCCTATTCGGTATCATGAGTCTTGTCTTCACACCCTTTTTCCAGAGCTGGACTCTTTTAATAATGAACAATAAAAATACTAACACTTCGTACATTTCGAATGATCTCAGCGTCAAAATAATCCATTAAAAATTATCTGAACAGTAGTCTATGTGACACATTAGATGTAGCTTTAAGCTGAGATTTATTAGCTAATATATTATCTGATGTTATTTGATTTTTCTATAGTACTGATCGGCCGTAAAAATGGTTCGAAGCGAACATTTGGTCCAATAGACAACGTGTGGGAATGTAGTGCTGAAACAAACAAGAGAGGAGCCTTTTTTTGAAATTTCGCGAACGCCAATTTAAAGGATATCTTGAAACTTTAACTCCAAACATTTCAGCTAACAGTTTGATGCTTATTAAATGGTTCTATGTAGTGGAAATGCGATCTTTGCCGGTTCTCAGTAATAATCTCGTTATGTTCAGATTCCCAACTTCAGGTCTAAATTTGTGTACTGAGGAGAAAAGGCATACGACCTGTGTTGTTCCTTTTCTAGTATGCTTTTGTGAATGTTTATTCTTCTCTTATGTTAGGCGACTGAATGTGCGGGCATCACTTATTTGGGTTACAGGTCCCAAGAACTGATGACTCGGTGTGAAATCCTGTATGCCACGGGTATTTTGTTCGTTTATGGCTTTTCTACTCACCTACTATGTCTTCTGAGATGTCACGATCTAGTAGGAAGAAAAAAGGAATATCTTAGGTCCAAAATCATTTCGAAATCAGATCACCTCGTAATCTTTGATAAAACAGAATAAAGAGGTTTAGCTTTTCAAGCCTCTCCTTGTATGGTCAACCCCGGAGTTCTGAAAATTGCACGGGTAGCTGCCTCCTTTACGTTTATCAGGATATCCGAATTACCTTTTAAACAGGGGCTTGTAGCCTGAATGCATTTCTGAAGCTAAGCACTCACTAAGGTTGTGTATACTGTGGCATTTATCTTGTTGAATATCCGCCTTAAAGTCCATAGGGTTCCGAACCATCTAGCTGCGACCTCCTGGCAATGGGCTGTGGTCTCACTGACATCCAGGATCCTTGTGGAACCAGACCACGGGTACAGGCACTTCCCCTATGTTGAACCTATTTACCTTTGAATCACCAAAGGTTATGTAGACATATTTTGCCGCCTCGATAGACATCAGCCACTGTTTAGATCAGTTAAGCACTATATTTAAGTCAACCTGAAGTGTGCACGTATCTGCGCCTCCTGTTATTTCTCACCAGATTTTTACACCAACAGCTCATAAAAACATTGGCGATCGTACTATACTTGGTAGATCATTTACATACAGTAAAAAAAGTAGGAGACCTAGTACAGAACCTTGAGGTACTCTACTAAGTATTGGTCTCTAGGTGGAGCACTTCCAATTTACTCTTACTTTCTGTCTACGACCTAGTGGGAAATCTTTAAAGCATTTTAAGAAGGGTTCGGCTATGCCAAAATTTTCTAACTTAAATAGCAATCTATTTGTTGGCGCCTTGTCAAATGCTTTACCTAAGTCAATGTAGACAACATCCACCCATTTTTCGGTAACTAGCGCCTTTATCCAATGCTCGCTTGCTATAAAGAGGTTTGTTGTGCAAGGTAAGCCTTTTCTAAAACCATGTTGCTCGTGGTTTAACGAGTTGTTGGTTTCTACAAATGCCATTATGGTCTTTAGACTATTCTTCCTTGTATTTTAACCACAACACTGATGAGGCTGACAGGTTTATAGTTCGAAGGACGTTGACTTGGTCCTATTTTATGTACGGGAGTGACGACTGCATCGTTTCAGTCCATAGGTAACACACTTTGGTCAAGTGACATATTGAACATCGCAGTTAGTGGAGGGGGTGTATTTCATTATGTCCTGTTGACTTTTCCGTGTTTAGGGTGCTAAGAACCTTAAGTGCATCGTCTAGACCATAGTTCATTGTGAAAAGACAGTTCGTTGACTTTGTACTTGAGTCTAGTTCTTCGTCTAGAAGAGGTTCCTGAGTGAAAACTGCCCCAAAATAGCTCGCCTTGGTTTTTGCTTTTTCCTGACAATCCTCTCAGTTAGGTCCATCTTAACACGCTATGGAAGTTTATTTCCTGAAATCGTCTCTTCCCTACAATCCAATTCCAAACACAGAGGTCCCATTCTGTTTTCTTACTTTTATCATCCTAGTTGTGACTGTTAGCTACTCATTTACCTTGTTTTGCCTCTTGATCATATCCTCTACACCGCTTAGACTTTGTTCCCCCATAGTTTGTTTGGCGTTGATTTATGTATCCGGAACTGAAATAGTAGATTCATATACCTTAGTACTGTCTATAAGTTTTTTATCAGCGCGCTGTCTATTTTCTTGCGATAATGCATACATCCATATGCCTGTTATCTGCTTCCCTGATAGGGTCCACCTTCATACTCTCATTCGAATCCAAAGCTTGGCTCATGATAACGTTCTAATATGACGTTTTCCCAATGTAAAGTATCCAAATATGCTTGACATTTTTATTGTCTGTACATAAAGTCGTCAGCTTTCGTTAAAACACACATTTCAGTTTGTTAAGCACGTTATTTACGTAATTGCCATTTGAAGAGCATTTACTGATAATTCAAAGACAGCGTGGCGCGAATAACCCTGGCACCTCTGTAAACAGCAGAATTTGATTGATCGTTGAAACTTTTCGCGTAATTATAACAACTTTCAGTTTAGAAATAAGTGGTAAGTATTTATGAACATATCAGTAACACAACTAAACCCTGCATTTGTATTTTGAAATTAAGGAGACAAGGGTGATTTCATACCCAACCAACCAATAAAGGGGAAAACGCGCCAAAAAGTCGCCTTTCCGGGAGAAATAATGCGGATTTCCCCTCTTTTTGTCGCTAAATTGTCTACTTTTCGCCTAAATATCCGCTAAATTGTCCACTTTTCGCCTAAATATACGCGGAATTGCCTGCTTTTCGCATAAATGCACACAGAATTGCGCGTTTTTTTATCCAACCTTAAAATCGCCATTGGCATTATCCAAAAGGTCTCCAAAATTCGCCTTTATTTCTTCAACCAACCGCAGCGGTCTGATTATAATCAGACAGAAATGACCTTTTCACTCATAAAACGGGAAAAGTGATCTTAAAGAGAGATCTTTTTGACTATGTTTTCATTCAGAATGGACTATTTTCTTCCAAAACTTCACATTCCCTAATAGGCGATTAATTTCCTGCATTTAAAGACGATCATGAGTTTCCTGATGGTATCAATTTATGTATAAATTGATATTACGATATATCGTAATATATAATAAAGAAGAGCTAAGATATGCTGTAAAGCTTTGATCGCATGCTTACCTAGGATCACTTGTTTTATGGTCATCGTCACTCAGCATTTTAATCGATTTTTAAAGAAACCAGTGGGTGATAATGACGAGTTCCCTTATGTTTAGTTTGGACGCAAGAGGTTATGTAGATGTTTCACAAAAACTCTATTTTCGAATATCTCTTGAAGTATATTGAATAATAAATACTACGCCTATACCTTGGTGCTCTCTGATATAGTCCGATTAATATCTGTTGAGTCCTGTCAAATAGAACTAAAGATTTTGCTATTCTGTCAGCAACTACTAAAAGCTGCATGGTCTGTTGATAGAGCATTTTATGCGGTCTTATTATAAAACTCGAAGTCTCTTGAAGCACTTCTGTAATTGATATATCTGCACTTAGTAAGCAGGCATCAGTTTTATTAGTCTATTGAAATTCAGTAAAAAGTCGTATGTTATGTGCGCCTATATATATATATATATATATATATATATATATATATATATATATTGACGAATTTCGCTTTCTTTAAGCTTTGTTTTTTTAGCGACAGAAAACGGGAACATATGTGCTATTCCTGGGAATCGGAGCCTCAGTTGATTGAGGCTTTTAATGAATACGGATGTTAAATTTGTGGTGTGTTAAAGCAAATAACTTTACTGGTTGATTCCATTGTAAGAGCTCTAAGGCTATTTTGAACACTGGAAACTTCCAACAACAGAATATTACGTCTATGCAAAAAATTTCGACTTGCTACAGTTGGGTCTCGCTCTGATTAATTATTGTATGGCGGAAGAGTATTGAACTAAATGTAAGATTATTATATACCAATGACTTTCAGTAATGAGTGACAGAGTACGTTTAAATAATACATTTTCCTAATGGAAGCTAGTGAAACTGTCTTACATGATGTAATTGTAGGTCGATGTCAATCAACCAGTCTTACGCAACGTAAAATGTGTACCTTGTATGCGTCCACTCAAGTTTCCACGCTACATCAACAGAGTAAAATTCCACAGTTGTATATGTGGCAACAAGCCCCCAAGTGCCCTGGTATGGTCGAGAGTGGGGAGAGTCTGCTCACTCTCTCAAAATGCTCACACATGGCCACGTGTATATAGCCTCTGCCAGGGAAGTCCTACTCACTGCCTTCACGTGGCGGGGGTGTTGTTTACGAAAATGAGAGGACGAAAAGCGAATGTCCGGCGCCTTAACCGGATCCCAAACCAATGGTGCACATGGGCTCCAGTATCCTGAAGGAACAAATGGCGTATGAACCAATCGTTGGTCACCGGCTACCATGGGACTGCATCTCCTTACGATGCTCCACTGCCTTGTGGGTCAGACGTTCAGGTCGAAGGCTCGGGGTGTGGCCCCCTGAGAAAACCACCTGGTTCGGTTTGGGCACCCGGGCAGTATCACAGCCCTCACACTTATCAAATGAGATCTGTGTGGCGCATATGTATGTGGCAATAATATCAGTGATAGTAGAAAAGATCAGACTTCGGTTCTATGCTTCGAGAAGGTATGGATAGCCACCGTAAAAAATAAGACGGTTTCGGAAATCGGGATCGAACGAAAGACAGTGTGAGATAACCTACGCCATTGCGACCTGTTCTGAGCCATGCTACCCAATTCCAATCATTGGTTACGATAAGCTTAAAAACCTTAACCAGATAGTATGCATATTCCGATATGGTTTAGTTTAACAGTAAATGGTTCCATGAACTGATATTCACATCTCGGTTTGACCGCCCATAGCTTTCTTCCAACTTGCTTTTATACCAGCCGTTATCACTTGTCCAGTTTGATGGTGTTTAAAAATGCGTAACATGTCCCAGCCACTTTAGCGGATAAAGATTCATTGTCTCCTCAACCTGTTTATCCTATGTACTTAGTGTCTTTTGGTTAGTCTTGCGTAAGGACCGAGAAGCCTGGTGGTCGTAGCGTGCTAATGAGCTGGAAGCAGCAGCCTCATCTGGTAACTACCGGAAGCTCTTCCAACTCATCCGATCCACTGGCAGCAAGAAGTCTGGTGTGAGCGAAACAATCTGCGAGGATGACGGGACGCCAATCACTAACATCCATCGACGTCTTGGACGATGGGCAGAATTTTTCGAAGGGCAGTTCAACTGGCCTGCTGCTCCGGCAACATCAGTCAGACTGTCCTGCTCTCCATGGCCGGTGACGACTGATCCACCAAATGAGGCAGAAGTCCGCAAGGAACTCCAACTCTTGAAACGTTACAAATCAACGGGCTCAGATGACTTACCTCCGGCTCTTTTTAAAGATGGTGGTGACTTTCTGACTAAGAGACTGACGACGTTGTTTACAAAGGTCTGGGAACTAGAGAGTGTACCAACGTCATATAATGAGTCGATAGTTGTCTCTATTTTAAAAAGGGTTCACGTCGTTCCTGTAACAACTATCGGGGGATAAGTCTACTTCCGATTGCGTCCAAGCTATTGGCTTCCGTTATACTTCGTAGGTTGTTCAAAACCCGAGAAGGATTGACTCGCGAGGAGCAGGCTGGGTTTCGTTCTGGTCGAGGATGTATTGATCATATCTTCACCCTCTGCCAAGTGTTAGAACACCGCCATATTTATCAAAGGTCAATAATCGTATTGTTTCTTGATATCAGGGCTGCCTTCGATTCGTTGGACAGGACTGTTCTCTGGGATTGTCTATTGAAGAGGGATATGCCTGAGAAGTTTATTAACATCTTAAAGGCCCTATATACAAACACCTCAGGCAGAGTGAGGGCACACAACCACCTTTCTCCATTATTCCATTCGAGCAGTGGAGTTAGGCAGGGTTGCCCAATCTCACCATTCCTCTTCAACTTTGCCATCGATGACATTCTGGAAACAGCTCTGACGGATGTAAGTAATGGTGGTGTGGATCTGTTGCTTGGAGAAAGACTTCTCGACCTTGAGTATGCGGATGATATTGTCTTACTGTGCGAGAATGTTCAAGCCATGCAATCCGCACTTGATCAGTTGGCAATCAGTGTCTGTAGGTATGGTATGTGCTTTGAACCTTCGAAGTGCAAAGTTCTTCTACAAGACTGGCAGGACTCTAATCCTGTACTCACTCTGGATGATGAGCAGATAGAAGTAGTCGAGAAGTTCGTGTATCTAGGTAGCTGCATAAGTGCTGATGGTAGCGTGAGTGATGAGATCGATGCACGTATAGTGAAAGTCAGAGCGGCTTATGCCAATCTAGGCCATCTTTGGTGCCTTCGTGATGTCAGTCTGGCTGTAAAAGGTCGGGTGTACAACGCTTTGGTGAGAGCGGTTTTGCTCTATGCTTGTGAAGCCTGGCCTCTCCGAGTTGAGAATGTTAAACGACTCTCTGTGTTCGATCATCGCTGTCTCCGAAGGATTGCTGACATTCAGTGACAACACCATGCTAGTAATGCAGAGGTTCGGCATCGTGTGTTCGGGCACAGAGACGATAATGAAATTGGTGTCACTATCTTGAAACACCGACTTCGGTGGCTTGGACATGTCCTACGAATGTCGTCCCGGATAATTCCTCGTCGTGCATTATTTGCCGTCTCTGGGACTGGTTGGAAAACGCGGAGAGGTGGTCAGTGTATGACATGGTGTCGTGGTATGAAAGAAAGCTGTAAAGGGCTAGCTTCTGTTGGTCCTTCACGACTCCCTGGCTGGGGTCCGAGAGACGGTGTAACACAGTGGCTAAAGACGTAATCAGATATGGCTCAGAATAGAAGCCAGTGGCGATCCTGCTGTAACCTTCTTTTACTTTCTTCATAAAAAGTGGTTGCTTCTTCCTTAACTGAAAGATTTCTTCTGATTGTACCTTCCGTTTCCCTCATTATTGTTCTCCCTCTCTCTCTTTCTTTATAATTCCCTACGTTCATTACTTTTTTTTCTCCTCTTTAAATTCTCATTGTTTTGTGTGGCGCATATATATTTTGTGCCCCCTTGTACCAATATTTATGTGTTCAAATAAAATAAAATAAATAATCTTATCATTTCTCTTTCGGTCATCCCAACATTAACGAGCAACGCTTGGTAGGTCCCGTTCCTCTTCCCCTTTTATAAATGCAAAATATCTGCAGTATAAAATTCTCTCGTTTTAATAATTGTATGGAGAACCATACACAATTTTACACCATTTTTAACTCTACTAAAATCCACTACGTTGGAGCTTATCATATATTTAACTTAGTACTGAAAATAAGCAACAAAAATTATATTAATATCAATTGACTCATTATCTCAACTATTGAATTACTATAATATCCACAAAACCCCTCCTGTCACTAATCAACATATATTCACTAGTAATTGACTCCAAGAGATATTTCCTGGAGTTCTAATGAGAAGCAGTGACCAGTGGAGTTCAACGAGGTCTGTTGTGGGATAGTAACTCAATGAATACAATGGTGGGTGTGTCGCCAAATTTCGTGGATTAGTTAAAGTTAGACATTGACACTGTTGGTTGCCGGCTCAATGGTCTAGAGGTTAAGCATTTGCGCGCGAGACCTATAGGTCCTGGGTTCGAACCTCGCAAGTTGAGGTCGTGGATTCACACTGCTGAGGAGTTCCACAATAGGACGAAGCCGCCATCCAGTGCTTCCAGGTTTTCCATGGTGGTCTAGGTTCAATTTACTCATGATCTCAACTATTAAAAGGTATATTTCTTCATTTGTAAGATTTCAGTAAATTAATTATTCTGTTGCTATTGGATAACTAAAAGGATTAGTTAAATACTTTAAGGAATATTAGTGGATTTCTCTTATAATATATTGAGTAAAAACGAGATTGGTAGTTGAATTTTTCTGTGATAGTCTATCCTAAAAAAGCTGAATAAACTAGCGGAAAGTCAAAAAATTTTATCAATTTTGTTATTTGGTCATTTTACGCTATAAAATGGACCGTATGAACGTGTGTAATTTACAATTTTTCTAGCCGTACTCGTCAAAAGCATTTAGACCAACTTATTTTTTATCATACTTCCATTTTATGTCCATGTTTTAGTTCACGTTTTTTATACGCTGTGGACTAACAAGTTATATCCACACTTTCCAGGAAGGTACCTAGATGGATCTATAAAAAGCACAATGGTAATGAAATTTATCACACATTTTCTTGCTCAAATCGGTAAGATAAATAATTTTCTCTAATTATACGTTTAGGACCGCAGTCTGAATATACTTGGACTCGTCTAATTTATAGTGCACTTAAGGCTCCTACATATCATTTGTATTTTGAATTGCTACTAATTGTTGGTATCATATGGTTGTTGTTTAAACGCAGTTATCGTATTAATGATGTAATCAATCTAAGTGTGGACGAGAAAAATCAACTGATCAATGAATGGAAACCCGATAGTTTGGTCCCGAAAGATTGGGAACCATCAAAATACCTATTAAAACAATTCCACAGATGTGCAAATGGTCCTCTTGGCAAGTAAGTAATATTTTCCAGTTTATCACCTGCTTCTGTAGCATTGTTTCCTGATTGTCAGACAAGGAATAAGGACCGATGCACATCCAAATAAAACAGTCTTAATGATTAGTATTTACGAACGAAATACATCTGTGTGTTCCAAAGTTGTTTCGAGAGTAAAATAAAATACCTAAATTTTTCTTGAGTACAGCTGTTCCACTGATCTCTGGAGCAAACTACTAACCGTTACTACATATGAAAAATTCCACTTAAAACTATCCACTAATAAAAATATTATGTTTGGAGTCGTATTAGTATAAAGCAACCAAAACATAATGTATCCTTTATATGCACAGACGTTAGGATTAATATGGTAGATTAATAATGTCTCTAGTTGCCATATTTTGAAAGGCGTAAAAATCTGTCCATGTTCATGCTCTTCACTTATAACTTTATCTTCACATCTTTAGTGTGTATACGAATACCTTAGCTCTTCTCATCCCATGTGTCGTTTCTGTTTTGAGATAGAATAAAATAGTGTGATGTAATATTCTCATTTGTACAGCCTTGTTTCACAGTCGTTTCTACGACTTTAATTAATAATAAAACAGTTGGTTCTGTGGAAAGTTCTTGTTTGTTCTAAATTGATTTTAATCACAGCGATTTCGATTTTATCAGACGGTTTAATGGTAAAGTAATCATTCATTCAACATACATCTACATTTGGGGATCTTGCTTATCAATACCTAATCGACTAAAAGAAAATAAATTCAGTATGTTGTTCTACGTTTTATATATTTTCACATTCCTGTAGAGGTCAGTGATGTTCAAATTATAAAGTATACAAATATTGTCCTAAATTTCATTTTAAACTTCCTATCTACTTGTCTAAAGTTCCCAATAAACGGTAATAATACATGAAAGGGCAAGTGAAGTCACGTTTTCCTGTTAGATTTTTGCATCATCCACAGGTTGGTTATCCAGCGATACTATCTTCCACTCAAAAATTGTTGTGGTTAACTTCAGTGTTACTCAAAAACCAGTTATCCAGTTAGTGATGAGCACTTACAGTTATGAAATGTAATATCCTCCGTCGAAATTCGAAATAATTCTACATGATTGTTAAAACCATGAGAGTGTACCCAATCTCAATTGTGAGTCGTTGTATATGATTAAGTGGATAAACATCTAGCTTTGACTGGTATTGTTTTTCTTACTACCGCTTAAATAATCGTCAGGAGATATTTGTATTTTCAAAGACAAGCTTTCCAATTACTTTCCTTCTACTAATCTTGAATTTTATTTCATGCAATAGAGAGATTTATTAATTTTCTAGCATCCGATTGTGTATTTTGTAACATGTCATCAATATCAATGATTCTATGAATTCATTTTCCTCTGTTGTTTTTTCCAGATACGTCAATTTCGACTTAGAAGTGGAAGAGTTTGAAGCTACTGAAAAGAATGTTAGTAAGAATCATCTTAATTTCGCGACATTAAATTTCTTAAACTTTGTTGGGGATTCGGATTTGTCTAATGTTGCTACTGAGCAGCTGAAAAAATATGGTGTTGGATCATGTGGACCAAGAGGATTCTATGGTACTTTTGATGTTCATCTTGAATTGGAAACTAAGTTGGCTGAATTCCTTGGTGTTGAAAAAGCAGTAATTTATTCTTATGGAGCAGCTACATTTTCTAGTGCTATCCCATCGTATTCCAAACGAACTGATGTAATATTTGCGGATGAAGGTATCAACCATGCTACGTATTTAGGCTTAGTGGCATCTAGAAGTCATGTTCGATTTTTCCGTCATAATGATATGGAGCATTTGGAACAATTACTGATAGCACAGGCAAAGAGAGATAAAGAAGATCCTAAGCGTGCATTACTAACTCGCCGATTTTTTGTTGTTGAAGGTATTTATTTCAATTCTGGAGAAATATGTCCCTTATCTGAGCTTATTGCTTTAAAATATAAATACAAAGTTCGCATTTTGTTAGATGAGACCATTTCTTTTGGAGTATTAGGTAAAACTGGTAGGGGTGTGACGGAATATTTTGGTGTTAATATAGAAGACATTGACTTAATCTCAGGTAAGCTTGTGCTTTTATTTTTCATTTCTTCGTTTGTACAGCTTTTTTCATTGATTTTTTTTTATCTGTGATTAGCTACTTCTATAGTTAATTCACAATAATAATGTTCTGATTGACTGGAGATTGTTGATTTAGTAAAGTAAAGGTCAAGGTTTTTACCGCCTACACTGAATTACTTAATTACTCAATTATATTGCATGCATTGATTGATAAACGTTAGCCGTGAATCATGACTGTTGTGGCGTGATTACCTGACAATTTATCATGGTGATTTAGCAACCGTAAAAAAGTTTGATCTAGATAATTTTTAGTACTAGATTTTTGAAGTGTTTAAGAATGGTGATTACAGGTGGACGGAATTTACTTTACTTACGCCTGTTACTCCTCGTGAAGGAGCATAGGCCGCTCACCAGCATTCTCCATCCAACCCTGTCCTGGGCAATCCTTTCAAGCTCTTTCCAGTTCTTATTCATCCTTTTCATATCTGCTTCTATTTCCCGACGTAATGTGTTCTTTGGCCTTCCTCTTTTCCGCTTCCCTTCAGGATTCCAAGTTAGCGCTTGTCTCGTAATGCAGTTTGATGATTTCCTCAATGTATGTTCTATCCATCAACTCCATCGGCTTTTCCTAATTTCCTCTTCAGCTGGAAGCTGGTTGGTTCTTTCCCACAAAAGGCTGTTGCTGATGGTATCCGGCCAATGGATGTTGAGTATCATGCGTAGACAGCTATTGATAAATACCTGTACCCTCTTGATGGTGGTTGTTGTAGTTCTCCACGTTTCAGCTCCGTACAGTAGAAATGCCATGACGTTCGTATTGAAGATTCTGACTTTGATATTGGTTGAAAGTTGTTTTGAGTTCCATATGTTCTTCAATTGAAGGAATGCGGCCCTTGCTTTGCCAATCCTCGCTTTTACGTCTGCATCTGAACCTCCTTGTTTATCGACGATGCTTCGCAGGTATTTGAAGGATTCCACATCTTCCAGAGTTTTGCCATCAAGAGTGATTGGATTGCTGTTCTCCGTGTTGCATTTGAGGACCTTGGTTTTCCCTTTGTGTATTTTGAGGCCTACTGATGCAGAGACTGCTGCTACTCTGGCTGTCTTTATCTGCATTTGTTCGTGTGTATGCGATAGGAGGGCTAGGTCATCTGCGAAGTCTAAATCGTCTAATTGGTTCTGAGCTGTCCATTGTATGCCGTGGTTTCCCTCAGATGTTGAGGTCTTCATAATCCAGTCAACCACCAGAAGAAAGAGGAAGGGAGAGAGTAGACAGCCTTGTCTTACTCCGGTCCTTGCTTGGAATGCATCTGTCAGCTGTCCTCCATGCACTACTTTGCACTGTAGTCCGTCGTATGAGTTCCGGATAATGTTGACAATCTTCTCAGGAACTCCGTAGTGTCGAAGAAGTTTCCATAAGGTTCTCCTATCTACACTGTCAAATGCCTTCTCATAATCAATGAAGTTGATGTAGAGTGACGAGTTCCACTCAATTGATTGTTCGACGATGATCCGTAGTGTCGCAACCTGGTCCGTGCACGACCGGTCCTTACGGAACCCAGCTTGTTGATCTCAAAGTTGAGCGTCTGCTGTGTCTTTCATCCTGTTCAGTAACACTGTTGAAGAATTTTCCTGGTACTGACAGTAGTGTAATGCCTCTGTAGTTTTCACACTTGTTCAGATCTCCTTTCTTTGGAATATTGATGAGGTATCCTTCCTTCCAGTCCATCGGCACTTGTTTCTCCTCCCGAATCTTCTTGATTAGAAGATGAAGCATGTTTGTAGTTACTTCGATGTCTGACTTCAACGCTTCAGCTGGTATATTGTCAGGTCCTGCTGCTTTCCCGCTCTTGATTTGTCTGATGGCCATTCTGATTTCTTCGGTCGTTAGTGGATTGACATATATAGGAAGATCTGTGTGTGCTGCTTCGATGTCCGGTGGACTCATTGGAGCCGGCCTGTTCAGGAGTTCCTCGAAGTACTCTGCCCATCTGTTCCACTCTTGTTGAATCTCAGTGATTGGTCTTCCTTCTTTGTCTTTGACTGGTCTCTCTGGTTTACTGTATTTCCCTGCTAGCTTCTTCGTTGTATCATAAAGCTGTTTCATATTTCCTTCTCTTGCAGCTTTCTCCGCCGTCGTTGCTAGTTCTTCCACGTATTTCTGCTTGTCGGCTCTAATGCTCTTCTTCACTTGCTTGTTTGCTTTTATGTATACAGCTTGTGCTTAGACTTTCTCTGCTCGTGTTCGGCTGTTGTTAATTGTTGTCTTCTTGTTCTTTCTTTCTTTGATCCTGTCCAGTGTTTCTGTAGAGATCCATTCCTTGTGATGATGCTTCTTGGGGCCCAGAACCTCTTGACACGTTGAAGTTATTGCTTCTTTAATACCTTTCCAGTTATCCTCCATAGTAGATTCTTCTTCCTTCAGTAGATCTTGTAGGGTTTGGAACCTGTCGTGGAGGGCTATCTTGAATTCCTTGAGTTTGTCAGTATCTCGAAGGAAGGCTGTATTGAACCTTTGTGGTGCTGTTTGTCCAGTTGTCCAGTTCTTCTTTAGCTTCAGTTTTAAATTGGACACAACCAGGTGGTGATCTGAAGCTATGTCCGCTCCTCTCCTGGTTTTTACATCTTCCATTGTCCTTCGGAACTTTTTATTGATGCAAATATGATCTATCTGGTTCTCTGTGGTGTGATCCGGTGAGATCCATGTAGCTTTGTGTATACGTCTGTGTGGAAATATTGTGCCGCCTATGACCAATTTGTTGAATGCACACAGATTTACAAATCTTTCCCCGTTTTCGTTCCTCTCTCCCAGTCCATGTAGTCCCATGATATCTTCATATCCGATGTTGTCTATTCCGACTTTGGTGTTTAGATCTCTCATCAGAATGGTGAAGTCTTTTTTTGGGCACTTTTCTATGATTGATTGCAATCTCTCATAGAATTGATCTTTAATGTCGTTGTTGCTATCATTGGTGGGTGCATAACATTGGATAATGTTCATTGTGATCCCCTCCTTCTTTGTTTTGAATGATGCTTTGATGATTCTGGATCCGTGAGATTCCCATCCTACAAGTGCATTTCGTGCTACTTTGGACAGCATTAGAGCAACTCCCTGAGTGTGTGGAGCATTTTCCTCTTTGTGACCAGAGTATAGCAGCTTCTCTCCCGTATTTAGCCTTTGTTGTCCAGCTTGGGTCCAATGGGTTTCACTGATTCCCAGCACTGCCAAGTTGTATCTCCTCATTTCCGTTGCTATTTTGGTCTGTTCTTCCCGGTCTCCCACATTGTCCGGACGTTCCATATACCTATAAAAATTGTTGCTCTGGTTGTTAGAATGGGCATCGGCCTCGTGGCTTCCGAAGGAACTCGGCTTTCACCATGAAGCGTCATATTACCTCTAACTCCCAGGGCAGGGTTTAAATGGTTTGAGTTATTTTTTCTGGTTAGCGTTTTTTTATCGAGTTATTTTTTTACGGGATGGGGACGCTAACCCCATGCCCAACCCTCCTCCTTTATCCAGGCTTGGGACCGGCAGTAGCCCCCCGAAAAGGGACTCCAGGCGGAGTTAGGTGGACAGAAAGTCTGACATTATTCAGTCTGATATGTGTTATGAATAATTGACTTAGCACTCTACCACTTCATCAACAAAATTATTCTCTTAACTCTACTAAATGCTGTGCCAAAGTTATTTCAGATAATCTTTCTGTATTAGGTTTTCTTAAAAATCTGATTTTTATTCATGCAAATTTGTTATATTTGGATTAATCTGAATGTATTGTTTCGATATTTTATTATTATCATCATTGAAGTGGTGACTTGGTTTTCAATCAGTTATTTGCATGTTCTAACGCGCTTGTACTCATTTCTCAAAACTCTTCGAAATTTAACATATTAGACTAAATAAATAAACTACTTAAAGATTAACCAACTTATCCGTGTGTATAGCGGGGATTAGTAAATAGAAATATCAGTTTGCAAGATTAAAAATCGTTAAAACTAATTAATCAGGCTGTATTAGTCAACTGGATAAGTGAACTTGAAACTGATACTATGAAGTAGGCGAACCAATTTATAACGATTTATTAAGCGTATTATTACAAATATTTGATGACCAATACGGGATTTACGAAGGTTGAATTTTTCAAGAACTTGGATTTTATTAGTAATAATCAACGAGACTTCTGTGTTGTTACTGTTAACCGTTAATATTATGACCGTCAGCTTAAAGTAGAGGATGTATGTTAGTTATCTTGCTAAAATTATGCGACTTCTCACTACATAATTTCCATACTACACTTAAGGAATTGTTTTGTTTACCTAATAGGTTCGTTGGAAACTGCTTTAGGGGTATGTGGAGGATTTTGTGCTGGATCGCAGTATGTTGTTGGTCATCAAGAACTCTCTGGACAAGCATATTGTTTTTCAGCTTCTCTACCACCAATGTTAGCTAAAGCTGCATACACAGCAATTTCTAAACTGCAATCGCCCAAGGAAAATGGTAAACGTAATCAACGGTTATTAGAATTAGCCAGATTAACTGACAATTTGTTTCATTCGAACAGCAAGTTAACCAGTATTTGGAAACTATATGGTCATCCGGATAGTCCGTTAAAACACTTAAGATTCAGAGAAAATAATACTTTAGGTAAACTTGAGGCTGTTGTCCAAACTGCTTTTGATTGGACTGATGAAGGAGACTTGAAGGCACCTCCTTTATTGTTGACAGTATCAAGGTTAGTAATGCTTAGTTGCACTCTAATTCATATCATATTTATTCCTAATGTTATAGCTAATATTCAAAGATTGTTTATGCAAATATATTGCGAACAAGAATAGTACGTAACATGATGTGCACTCCAGTTAAAAATGCAACCAGAAGCCTCTCAGTCGAGAATGCTCCTCAAATTACTTTAAAGAATGAAATTACTAGAGCAAAATCCCCACTGGTTACTACTTTCAGCCTTCTCAAATAACGTTTCAAACTACTGAGTTGTATGGTGTTTAAGACTTGGACTCGGGAATCGTAAGAAACAAACAGGTGCCAGCACTAGGCAACTTCCATCCCGTAGCTTCACGTCACACACTGACTACCTTCCCTCTTTTCACCCCGTCCCAGCTTCAGCAAATAATGCGCAGTATAGAAGCATCCAGAATGGCGTCCGTACACGTTTGTAAGCCACCGAAGCGAGTGTTCCAAAGTGGTGACACTAGTTGTCGTCACTGAGGTCAAACAAACACCCCATATCTTAGCATTACTAACACGGTGTTGCCACTAGACATCAACAATCCGTAAGAGATAGCGATGATCTGACACAAAGAGTTGCGAATGTTCTCAGCTCAGAGATTCTAGGTTTCGCAAGTATAAAGTAAACTGTTCCCATCCGACGTGGTATAGATCCGAAATTTTACAGCCAGACTAGTATGACGAAGGCGTCAAAGGTGTGTCAGATTGTCGTAGACTGCTCTGGCTTTTACTCAACCCAGAGTAACCTCATCAGTTACGTCACCGTCAGCACTCACACAAATATCTAGATTCTCAAACTTTTCAACTGCCTCGTTTGGTGCTGTTTACGAATATCGATGAAAAAGTCAAAGAGCATGAGTAAAATCGAGCAACAGTGCGACGATATCGGTGATTACTGCATTAAAAATTGCTACTGGGAAGAAACAGATTGTGACCTCTACAAGGCTCAAAGAGACAGTAACCCCTATCTGACATGGGAACAACGACTCCTTGTTGGCTACCAAGCGGCTCTACTCTGTGTATAGACGACCAACCTATGCATTTGAATCCCCGGTTGGTACTACAATTTCTGTCGAATGTGCTTCACTGACATCGTTTATTTGATAGTGGAACTCATCCTCGATCTCATCTGGGCTGCAATCTGTGGAGACGTGGTCGAGTATTACGAAACGACATCGTCCCCCATGCCGATTTCTATCTACTGGTGGTGTTTTCTAGTCAAACAGGACACACGACTGACAATAGGGACCCGTTCGACTAGTATGACCTTTACTCCGCTGCGGCACCGAAATCAGACATTAGTCCCATAGGGTTCCTCAACAAACTTATATGCAGTAAGTTTTTCTGATTGACGGATGAAGAGCGAAATTGTACTAAGTTAGAAGAGTCTTAAAAATAGGACTTGGAAGTAAACTGTGCATCAGCATTAAGACTTCCGGTGTTTTCTAATCTGCTTCAGTATGAGAACATTGAAGTATGCCAGTTTAATTTGTACATTTCGCCTCACAGACGCTGATTCAAATATTATGATTGATATTACCATTGAGAAATACAAGCACCCATCAACCTGACGTCGTTCAGATATCAGATATGACGGAACTTTTAACATAGACGAAGTGTTAAATAATCTGGAAAATAATAGTAAACCCAAGGTATAGATAAAACGAAGTAGAAAATTGGAAGAGTAAATGAAATTCTTGTGCAGTAGAGTCATTTTAAGTATTGTTTAACAGGGTAGCAAAGTGGAATGAATGGAGTGGTTTCCACATGATTACCCATTGACATATTTTTTGTGGGTTGGGATGGTACTCATACGTTCAAACCGAAGCGTCCAATAAATATAATTACAACTACCTTCATATGCATTATAGCAGACTGATTCACTATTTTCCTCGGCATCACGCCAGAATGTCAATTAACTTGTTTGAGAGTTTTAAATTGTTAAGATTCTAAACTAATTTCAGATCAATTACTCTTAATAGTTAGGTCTAGCTTCATGTTACTGCATTACTGATAACCTTGTTAATTTTTTGTTAAATCGCTTTTTTTCAGATATACGTATAGTATAAATTTCCCTGCTCCACCTCCAAGTATTCGTATTGCATTGAATTGTGATTTAACTAATGAAGAATTGCACCATCTATTCTATGTTCTTTCTTCAATAGTTCCTGCATGAATCGACCAGTAAATGATGAAATTTACATTAATTAGTGTTGGCTGTGAAACTTTAACAAAACATGACATTTATCACGATAATATTAAGGACCTTACTAGCTCAATAATATTATATTTATAGTTTTTTGTAAATGTATCTTTTAGTAATAACCAGGTAAAATATAATTTGCGCTTTTGCGTAATCCCTTGCTTATTTTCCCCTTAGTACTTCGTTGAAGTTTTAAATATAAAATAACTGTCTAGTTTTGTCTACCTGATGTCTGGATACTCATCACATAAGCGTTGTATGATCCAAAATTTCTATCACACTGTGAATGGACATATATATAATAGCATGTTCTCATATATGATATACGATACACTTTCTTAATTGTCGAATTCGAAACAAATATGTACTGAATTTAGCGTGCTACAGAGAGCAAATAATCAGCTGATAATTGGTCAGTATAAATAAAAGAACAGTGCGACTTAATAAACATATCATTAGAATAAGTTCTGTAATTGACTGGACCACAAGATTTCCTTCATAACAGAAATTCGAATATTAGATTGACTGAATTTCAATGAAGTTCAAATGAATATTTAAAATTCAGTCCTAATTACAATTCAGAACACCTAATTAATTCTTAAACTAGAATCCTTCTTGAAAACCGTTTATAAAGTCAGACAAATTAGCTCAAGTGGAAAACATAGGGCATATATGTGATAGAGGTTATAGCTATCCTAACCCTTGTGCACAAAAACAGTACGTCCAGCTACTTGACCCGCTTTTATATCTTTCATAAGCAATCACTTGCTGCCTAATCCTTTCTTACTACTGATTTGTCATCGTTACAACATGATCATTCTGCCCTTAATATGTAAATGGACAAGTATCTTCAGCTCGATGGTTCATTAGCCGATAATTTAGCAACTTTTAATATCTGATTATTGTAATCAACTCAGTACACGATACCACTTCACTGTCCTAAGATTACTCAACATCATTCTATTTTATTACAGATTTCTATTTTTTGTAAATACGACTGCACAGCTCAAGTCAGTGAAACCGTCAAAAAAGGGTTGTGGAGTTTTGGTTGAGATTATAAACCTGGAAGCACTGGACGGGCGTTCCGTTTTAATATGGGATTCGGAAGTGTGCATAGAATGCATTGCATGCGTGAATCGGGCCCAGGATCTTTCATCGCACGCCCAGCCAACTTCACCGCGCGTCATTTTTGCTTCGCTTTCCTTTCTTCGCATCGTTTTCCCGTTCGTTTGTTTGGATCAATGATTATACAAAATATATGCATTCAAAAGTCCATCCATTCCGTTATTAACTAACGCGATCCAAGTCAATGATTATATACGAGGATAAGGCGCATGTATATTTCCACAACGATCATTCATACGATCAAATCATAGTCAGATCACGGGCCACTACAGGTTATCAGCATATTTACATCTAGAATTTTTATTAAAAATAAAATAATTCAAGCTAGAGGATAAATGAGTCCTCACAAATATGGGAATGAGTATTCAGTGCTTATATAAGGTATGTCGCCTGTGGTGGTTGAGTGTCACAACTCTACTCACTTATTTGCGTCCATTGGGTATCATTTGTCCCGAGCACCCCGAAGTTGTGTCTCTTCAGTTCCGCAGCTATTTGATTAGTCTTCCTGGTTCCCCACACTGTCCGGACATTCCATGTACCTGCGTCAATTGTTGTGGTTTTTAGGAGCACTAGACTTCCGAAGAATCTCAGCCTTCATTTCGTGACATAACTCATAAATGAAGACTTTTTGACAGCTGAAATTATTTTTCCTGGTTAGCGTTAGCAAGGTTTTTTCTTACGGGATTGGATTCCTAACCCAATGCCCAGCCCTCTTTTGTTCGGGTGGCGGATTTTGAGTGCTACAAGCATAAGTGTTATACTTCCTGAAACACCCTGTTAAAGCGATTATAGGAACGTTGACATAAATGTTACCTTGAATTAGTTAGCCTTTAAAAGTACTGAATGTACTGTGTGGAATAAAAACCTGCTTAATCCAAATAAATAGTGCGATAAAAGTTTTTACATGGTGAAGATTTGTAGCTCAGGTGGATGATTTTGATGGAGTTTTGTTCTCTGAGCTCAGAGAACAAAACTCCATAAAATTTTAATCGGATTAATTAGTCATCTGCACATTACAGTGATCAAAATTCTGCTTAATATTAACGTTATTTCTATACAGAAAAACAGAATTAAAGATAATTAACCGAATCTTCTTCAAAACATGCTTCATGATACATAGTTGGAAAACATATAACTTAAAATGTTAAATTTATAACATTCTGAATATTTATTAAACAAATTAGTAAAAACAATCACTTGGTGACTAAAATTATTAGCAAGAAAGATTACTGAAGTAATGAATCTTTGAATACTTAGCAAGCTATGTGAAACAACAGGAATAAACAATAAACGCCGTATAAATATGAGGCAAAAATAAAGGAGGTTCATTAAAAGACGAATAACAGACAAAAAACAATAAAGTTAACTGTTCTCAGCATAAAGCTCATATATCTGAATATAATTCCATGTAAACGAACCATAGTATTATAATTCACTTCATCCTTCATGTTTTATACCACCACGCTTAATTCGTTTATTTGGAGAAAAAACACCTTTGTAAACAATAAAAAGTAAAGTATAAAGTGATTACACTTATAATGTGATTTGATTTCGTTAAATATGTGAGTCACTTACCCAACCAACTTTGTAAAATCGAAGTAGTTGATGTGAAGTTCTGTGATATGTGTCCTGGTAACCACGAGTCGACTGAATTAAGCTACTGATTTACAAAGGTATATCACACAGATATATCCATTTATGCCCACAGTCATCCAGATCGTTTGTACCACACTCCGCATCAACAAGATGGTGATTACCACATTGGAGTAGTGCTTAATTTTTTCTTTAAAAAGTATACTTCAACTTCTTTATGTAAAGATAAATTTTTACAGCTATTTAGGACAATACCATGGTGCTTAGTGTACAACCATTTCACAAAAGGAAACAAACTATATATATATATATATATATATATATATATATATATATACTCGTTCTGTTGTGAAAGTTTGAAGTATGCCACAAAAGGTGCCAAGACTGAACTTCCACTTTCCTTCTGATGGTTGATTATTTTTTTGAATCATACCCATACACGAAACTTGACCAATTGTATAATTACACATCTTTACCTACATGTGGTGTATCAATAAGCCCCCCAAATGCCCTGGTATGGTCGAGAGTGGGGTGGGTTCGCCCTCCCTCTCGAAATACTCTCACACGGACACGCGTATACAGCTTCTGATAGGGAAGTCCTACTCACTGCATTCTCGTGGCGGGGGTGTTGTTTACGAAAATGAGAGGACGAAAAGCGAATGTCCGGCGCCTTAACCGGATCCCAAACCAATGGTGCACATGGGCTCCAGTATCCTGGGAGAACAAATGGCGTATAAACCAATCTTTGGTCACCGGCTACCATGGGATTGCATCTCCTTACGATGCTCCACTGCTTTGTGGATCTTTAGATCAAAGGCTCAGGGTGTGGCTCCCTAGAGAAAGCTGCAAAGGGATGGCTTTTGTCCCGACCGTTGTTGCTACCTTGACGTGGTGGTCGGGCTTGCCTATCGTGATGAAGCAACTGAGCTATACTGGCCGGAACAACCGTTCCTCAAGGTCCTACCATGCCAGACAGGTCGGTTGAAGAGCGGTAAGACTAAAAGCAACAAACTCAAGGTTCGAAGGCAAAGTCGTGCTGCTGACTGTACAGAGGTGTGACAGCAGTAAGGTGTTTCCTTCAGACAACCAGCATAACAGTGATGCTGCCTTCCCACAAGGAGGAGTGGGGTTAGAAAAGGTCGACCCTAAAAATGCACACCTCGCCTTATCCCACGGATATCCGTCTCCAGCAGTAAGGTCTCAACAAGTACGGAGCTAACACAAAAACTACTCATAAAAAGGTCGTGTGTGACCGACCTCAAGCAGCTGTCCCTTGGGCACTGCGGTCACGCTCTCAGGTCACTATGACCACCTCTAATCCAATTTCCTTTTCAGGTACCTCCAGAAGAACCCTTCCACGGTGTGGGCAACCGGGAAGTGATAACCGCCCTCATACCTCTAACAGCACTCAAGACCACTGACTGACTGACTGAATCCTACTTGGTGTCTTTTGGTAGCACTGAGCAACAATGCCCCGACCGTAGCTGCTACCTTGACGTGGTGGTCGGGCTTGCCTATCGTGATGACCCAATCGAGCTATATTGGCTGGAATACATGTTCCTGCAGGTTCTACCATGCCAGGCAGGTCGATTGGAGAACGGTAAGACTAAAAGCAGCAACTCAAGGTCTGAGGGCGAAGTCGTACTGCTGACTGTACAGAGGTGTGACAGCAGTAAGGTGTTTCCCTCGGACAACTAGCATCTGCAGCGATGCTGCCTTCCCACAAGGAGGAGTGGGGTTAGAAAAGGTCGCTAAGACCAACACTAATCCGATTTCCTTTTCAGGTCCCTCAAGAAATAGTACTGAATGTCAAAATCTAGGTAAGCATTCATGAGAATTTAGTTCTGGTAGCTAATTATTATTTTACTCTGTTACTTAATCCGAACGTTGTGTTGTTGATTTAAGTACTATTTAGAAATTTTGTCTATTTGTTTAATATTAATTCGTTCTGTAAATTATACCACAATAAATAGTTTTTTCAGAACAAGATAGTCTTAATGGCTCTGCTAGGTAAGGATGGCAAATCAATTACTAAAGTAGTGAAACTTCATCAGTTAAAATGGCTGGGACATGTGTCGCGTATGCCCGACCACCGACTGCCCCGATGTGCTATGTTTTATGGTGTAGGAGTAGGTTGGAAGAAAGCTATGGGCGGCCAGACCAAAACATGACAGAAATCCATGAAGTCACTGACAATTGGACTGAGTCATGTTGGTAGGTGTAGACTACCTGGTTGGGGTCTGCGAGACGATAGCAACCGATGGTTAGAGACCTTGAATGACATGGCTCAAAATCGTTTGCAATGGCACAGGTGCATCCACTCTTTGTGTTCTCTCAAACTCTAATCTTCTGAATTCTTCATGTCCTTTATTTTCTTTCCCAATTTATTTCACTGGACTATACTCCTTTAATAACATCATCAAACCTTCATGTC